AGCAGCGTCATCCACTGTGACTCTGACAGCAACTACCTCAGCCTTTTTCCTTTTACATTTTTTTTTTCTTTTCATGATGACAGTGATGAGACCCTGCCTCCCCTGACTGCACGTCACTGGATGTTTCCATATATGAAATAAATACAAAATAATACATGAGGAGTTACTCCAAGACTATATTACAAATAGTCCTCGTTTAGCAGCCACAACTGGAGCTGGCAATTGGCAATTTATTGGCAATTTAATAAATTTATATGCCGCCCAATCCCGTAGGACTCTGGGCGGCTTACAGAACAAAAATAAAATTAAAAGTTAAAATAAAGAAGAGATACAGTTTAAAAAACACACCAAACATTCCGTTTAGGTGGGGCTGGACCTTAATCAACAGCCCCAGGCCTGCCGGAACAGCCAGATTTTCATGGCTTTTCGGAAGGCTGAGAGAGTGGGAAGGGTACAGATCTCTACGGGTAGATTGTTCCACAGGGCCGGAGCAGCTACAGAGAAGGCTCTCCCCCGGGGGGGCCGCCAGCCGGCATTGTCCGGTCGACGGCACCCGGAGAAGGCCCAACCTGTGAGATCTTATTGGTCTTTGGGAGGTATGCGGCAGGAGGCGGTTTCTCAGATATCCACGTCCTAAGCTATGTAGGGCTTTAAAAGTAACGACTAACACCTTGAAGCGTGTTCGGAGACCAATAGGAAGCCAGTGCAGCTCGCGGAGAATGGGTGTAACATGGGTGTATCTAGGTACACCTGATATCACTTGCGCGGCTGCATTCTGGACCAACTGTAGTCTCCGAACACTTTTCAGGGGCAGCCCCATGTAGAGCGCTTGGCACCTTGGTGGTTAAAGCAAAGTGGTTGCTTATGATCTTACTTCAGCTTTCCTTTGTTTATAGATCTGCAAAGGTTGTAAGTGCAAGGGTTGCTTGTAGAGTTACTTTTTCATCACCATCATAACCGTGAAGAGTTCTTAGACGAGGCAATCACTAAACAAGGACTACATGTATTTTTCACTATCAAATTTAGGATTTAATACTCACTTGGTCCGGGTTCTTGAGTGGGAAACAGCTTATTGTCAACAGCCAGGCTTATGTTATGGAATACTTCTTCCTCATCTTTATCAGCATCCAGCTAAGAACAAAAAAGAAGACAATCAGATATCTGGAAGAAGGCAAAGTAGTAAATCAAGCCCAATGGATGGAGCTAGGGGTTATCATCTTATGTTGTAGAATGTTTGTGCCGCAAAGAATTCCCAGACAATTTATGTCAACCATGGTTTCTGAAAAGCTAATAATATTGATAATATTTATGTGGTGCAGCATTTCAGAATGCTGGAATAAGACATATACAGATTCTCCTTGACTTACAACAGTTCGTTTAGTGAAAAAAGTGACATGACCATTTTTCACACTTATGCAGCATCCCCAAGTCCAACTAGCTAGACTTGTGATAAGGCAACAAAATTTTAGGCAAAGATAATAGGTGGCTAGAAAAGACGATAGGGAAACAATTAGATTTTAAACCTGAACTGTTTTTATTAGGTATGTCAGAAAAAAGAAAAGTATGTATTTAATATTACTTGTTTTAACAGCAGCAAGGATTATATTCGCACAAAACTGAAAAATATGAAGATACACTGCGAGATGAAGAGATAGTCAAGAAGATATTAGATGGTGCAGAAATGGACAGATTGACGTTGAAAATTAAACAGAAAAAAGATGCATTATCAAACATGGAATCTATTTTACCAGTGGGTGGAAAAAAGAGGTGGGGATTAAGAATGTAAATTTATAATGTTAAGCAATAATTACACAATGAACACAATGTTCATTAAGCACTCAGAAATGTATTTAATAGAAAACCATTTTTTTTTTAAAAAGAGACAAAACAGTAGAAACAGCATCATAATATAAACTCTTGTGTATATGTGTGTGTGTGTGTGAGAGAGAGAGAGAGCGAGCGAGAGAGCAATTCAGGTACTCCTTGACTTACAACAGTTCATTTATCGCTGGAAAAAATGATTTATGACCATTTTTCACACGATCAAAATTCATACGCTTGGCAACTGACTCATATTTATGATGGCTGCAGTGTCCTGGGATCATGTGATCACCCTTTGTGACGTTCTGATGAGCAAAGTCAATCAGAAAGCCAGATTCACTTCAACAACGGTGTTACTCATTTAACAACTACAGTGATTCACTCAACAAATGTGGCAAGAAAAGTTAGAAAATGAGGCAAAACTTACTTAACAAAGTTTTTGCATAGCAACATACATTTCGGGCTCAATTTTGGTCAGAGGTCAATGATACCTATCATCCTTAAATAATGAAGGAAGTATTGGAGACAGAAAATGGGAAGAGGCAATTAAAAAGTCCTGGGAGCCAGTGACAATATTTTATTGTCTAAAAACCTGGTGCCTTTTGCACAAGTTTTTTTGTTAATCATTGCTTGTAGAAATGTTCTTTTTGTGTAATTTTATATCAATTTTCAGCACTGAAGAGAGAAAATAAGTATTGTAAGATGCTCTTTACTGCAAATTGAGCTTGTCTTGTTTAACAATACAATGCTTTGAATTTTATTTATTTTTCTAGCACATTTTATGTGGATACACAGTAATTGTACCTGCTTATCTGCTTTTATTCTCTGGTAGGGCTCTATTTATGAAAAAAAAGATATATTAGGTGAAATGAACAGTTTATGAGAAAACAACAGCAAGTACCAATAGATCAGAGACTCTCAAGTTCAATTGGAGACTGTAATGTAGAAGGAGAGCTCATTGGTCAGTGAAGTCCCTAAATAACAACAATTCTTATTTTTATTATCTTCATTAAAAGATTTCCTGCACCTCAGGACTGAAAAGAAGAATAGAATGATTGATGAAGTCTTGGACAAACTCTGCAACACAGAGATGGCCAAAAGTGCTTTGTTCCCTCCCACACTGTTAAATCAGCTTACTAGGGTGGGCTGAGAGAAATGAACTGCATAGGGAGACCCTTAGGCCAGAAGTGGTAGAATTCTCAGGAAGAATTAGAACAGAGTCCATCTTTGAAGCGACGATGGTTTCTTCCTCCAGCAATGATTTTTTGCACTGTTTTGCATCTCCTTCAACAGGAACTTCAGTTGGAACAGTTCAGTTGGAGGCTCACTTTGCTCTTTCGCAAAAATTGATCAGATTCATCTGATGATGGACACTATTTCAGGCAGTGGGTTGCATCATACAGGGATAAACTGCTTCCCCTGTTCATGTGGATGTTATTCAATTTCTAATCTCAAGGATGTGGAGAAGGTAACTGATGAGATCATGGCCACCAGCTGTTTGTGCCTGACGGTTTAAATTGGCCAAGCTGAGTGGCTCTGTGTTTAAGGAAGATGAGGCTTCCTTGAGCAGGGGAGGAAGAATTCATAAGAATTTTAACAAAGCAGATTTTCCTTGTCCCAATAGATTTCTGAAATTGTAGACCAGTTTAATTTAATTTTGTTCTTAGCTATATTTATCAGGAAAGTGGTGTTTTTTTAAGGTTCCAACTGCATTTGGATTAAACTGATTATTTAGATAAATTCCAATCAATCTTTCATAAAATGTGAGTGACCTGCATTAGAAATTAAATAGGGGGATACAACTGTCTGGTCTTCCTCTTAGCAGCTTCTGATATTATTAATTATGATATGTTCCTTGATTGTTTAATGAGAGTAGGTCTTTGGAGACTTTTGTCCTTGCCTAAGGAGTGCCCAGAGAGTGATGCATGTAGGTCAGGACTGCCAAACCCGTAGCCCACGGGCCAGATGTATCACATCGTGCCCACGCCCAGTTTAGCAAAGAGGAAAAATGTCATGATACATCACGTGATGCCGCCGTGATGACACAGGTTTGAAACCACTGATATAGGTTATTGACAGTGGTGAGTTGCAGGCGGTACGCCCTGGTGCGGGCGTATTGGAGCCTGCTCGGAGCACCGAATACCATTCCGGTACGGTGTTCCGGAAGGCCCACCCATTCGCCCGAGCTCCTTACCAGTCTTTTAAGTCTTCAGTGCTTCCATGCATGTGTATGGTGTGTACAGTGCCTGAGCGATGCTCCACTGAGCAGCTGGAGTGTCACGGAGGCTCACAGAGGCACTAAGACACATGCGCGTGCTGCACGCGTCCATGTGGATGCCACCGGGCCCGTTCCAACTGTACCGGTTGGAACAGGATCCGGAACCCACCACTGGTTATTGAAGTATTGTGGCTAGTGGACTGAAACCCTTCCTGAGTCAAATCCTAGAAAATGTTTACCTATGATTTACCAATAGCTTGATTTGACTGTTGCTATGAAATTTTCAATTGCTATAAAAACTGTCTCAAAAGCATGTGGCATGTAAAATGCAGCAGTCATTTTGCAAGATGTTTCCACTGCCAAAGATAGGCAGGAGAAAATATTCTCCTGTATTAGTCTTTTAGTATGCCATGCTCTCTTCAGGAAGGTATTCTTGACTATTTACTCTCAGTATTCAGGAGAATAGAAAAACACATATCTCTTGCCACGTTTTGATTGACTTTAATAATTATTTTAATTTTAATTGCATCAACTTCAAAAGTTACATTTTATATTTTGTATTTTGTTTAAATTTACATAAAGTGCTCAAAGAGTGTTTAAGCAAGCAAAATGTCAGGAGTCCACATTTAATTACTAAATAGGCAAATAAGCCAAAGAACTAGTTCATATACTGCATTTCTAAAGGAAAATAAAATGTATGCAGAAAAATATAAAACTTAGAAAGAAAATGAATCCAGTATTAAAAAAAAACCTGCATTTCACAGTGGCATGCATATTCGTAGTTCCTATAATTAATGTCTGCAAAAAAATAAGTCCTTTCAAAGATGTGATGACATTTTAATGAACTAAAAAATTCTTTTGAAAATTGTAGATTAGATCTGATTCAAAGTGATAAGACACTTATTTCTTTGCTTTTATCTCTCCTTCATTATCCTTCTTAGCTGAAGTCATAATCACATCTCATGTCAAAAGTTCTGTACGTTAATTAGACAAAAAGTATTTTCTAGAGATTTAATAAACCAGGGAACATCACATCAGATTAACAAATTCCCTGTATATTCTTGGTACAAATCAGTAGACTAAGAATCAGCAGAGCATATTGAACAGATTGTAGGATTGTTTTTGCTCAATTTGTATTGATTATAGGGAAGATTTTTCTCTTTTTTGAGACAGTCTTAACTGGCAATTACATGTGGGTTTTCTTGACAACATTTTTCAAAGGTGACTGAGTGGCCCAGAGTCACTCATCCAGCTTTGTGGCTAAGGCAAGCTAGTGGTGGCTAATTGGTGCCTTTAGCCACTACTCCACACTGGTGCTCACAGATTACACCAGTGATGGTGAATTTTTTCAGCACCGAGTGCCAAAAAGGGAGCACAAACACGCACACTTTGCACACTCGTCGGAGTTGGAACCCGGAAGAGGAGTAGCCCAGGGAGCATGTGCCAGCCAGAAAATGAACTTCCGGTCTCCAGCATGCGAATGCATGCTGGCTAGTTACTCTTCTGATGTGCATGCGTGCACGACGATTAGCTAGCCAGCACACATGCTCATGCCAGAAAATGGAAAACCAGCTCTTCCAGTTTCCGGCACTGCTGCACACACAAAGGCCAGTTGCATGCCACAAACTCGGAAGAATAACGGGTAACGCCTTGCGTGCCAGGTGACATGGCTCCACATGCCACTTTGGCCAAGCATGCCATAAATGCACCATCACGAGATTACACTATATGTAAAATGTAGCTATATTCTGATGTTGAGAGAGCACATTTGGTTTTCTTACAAAAATTGCACTTATTGATGCAAATATAGAAATACTGTTCACAGCACTCAAGCATATTCATCGCTCGCTACTTACCTACTCACCATAATGATCACATATTCTCCTTCTGGGTACATAATCTAGCCAAATAAAAAGTACTAGAAAAATAATTGTCTACCAACTAGGCAAGTAAAATTTGAAGCTAGCATGCTGAGCGAGATGTGATCCTTGTATTTGAAAACATGAA